GGGGCAGACTGAAAATGGAAAGGATGCAAAAATCTCCAGCTTCACTTCAAAAAATGTTCCTCCCTCCCCTCCAACTTCAGTGCCCAAATGGGGGAAAATTGCTTGAAAAGAGATCATCACCGTAAGGTCAATATTCCAAATTTCAGTGTGGGGAACACCAGGTGTTAGATGTTTTAAACTGCAAAAACAAAGGGTTGGTCAGTTCTACTGAGGATTTGTGAGGAACACTCCTGTTCCCTGTAGCAGACACCCTTGCTGTGAGATCCATGTCTTCCCCTCCTGCTGTGCCAGCAAAAGCTTGAACCAGGCTTGGTGCAGAGCACCCTTAACTTCATTTTTGTGCTACACATTTCCTTTTGGGATTAGACAGTAAGATTTATATACAGAGACCAGATAAGACAGGGGTTTGACATCTTCTCAAATCTGCAGGAGCACATTCTGGACCAAGGTTATCACACCAGGGTGGACAAACTAAGCAGCTGCCGACACAACCACAGGTCTACGGGAGGTGAGTGTCTAATCTCTTAGGTTACAGCACACCACAGCACAGATCAGGGACTGGGCAGCTAATCCCCCTGTCCCTCAGCTAAGTTTCACAAGTGATTCAGCTCTAGTTACCCTGTGCCAGCGAGGCAAGGAGCTGCCCACGGGTCCTGGCTCACCTGGGTTCCCTTGGAAAGCACAAACCAGTTAGTCAAGACAACTCAACAGCTTAGTTAAAGCAGCTTTTGCAATAGCTTGAAAATTACAATACACCCCTACCCACCCGAGCCCCAGACAAGAAACACTAGTAGAATCTGTACTATTCACCTCTAATACAAAAAATATAGTGGCAAATTCCTAGACATTTACTCTGTTTTGGACAGAACAGTGAACATGGATACGGACAGGCTTTTCCTTGCTCGAGGCAATGAGCACAGCGTCAGTTCTGCTTCCTGCACTGCGAACACTGTTACTATCAAACAATTCTCCACGTGAGTCTTTGATCTTAGAGTGATTTATTTGTTTTTGTCTGTGTTGGAAAGGAGATTTTTGCTACCGTTTCTGCTAGTTTTGGCAATGAGAGAGAGGCGACTGTGCGTTACCAGAAAACGACCCGTGGTCGTTTGCCAGTTGAGTGTTGTTTGTGGCTACAGGAATTGTGTGTTTTAAGGTACTGTATCTGCTCAGGAATCCTTGAAGTAATTTCAACTAGACCATCCTTCTATGTCCACCAAAGGACAGATGTGCCATGTCTCCCACCAGCCTGTGCTGGAGCAGGAATAGTGTCAAGGGAGTCACTCTACCAAAGCACATCCCAGAACTGAGCTAGGCCTAGGAAACATTCCTCAGCAGGGTTAACATGGAACAGGTTCTCAGTGAGTAATGCTCACCATCTCTACTGCTGTGTGACAAGTGGAGAACTTCCTAGGGATCAGTCAAATTAGCCAGAGAAAGGCCAGAACAACTCTTGAGATCATTCACAGTTGTCAAGGGCTTAGATCTAATTTCCTGCTTTCCGCTCAGTTAATTACCATCCAAGAACTTGTGCAACCCTTTGCTTCAATCTGGGTTTTATAGGCTGGAACAGCCTGGAAAAGAGATCCAAATAGTGACCAGAAGCCCAGCACAGTTCCTCCCTTGTTCTAGCTCACTGTGTACAGAAACCGCAGAGTTTTTTGTAGTGGAAAATTATTACCTGGAACTGATCGGTTACTGAGTGTTTTAAAACTCATCTAGCACTCTCTCTCAAGTGGAAAGAAAGAATGGACTTGCAGTATGATGGTAACACCCTGGAGCCCTACAAAACCCCTGCTCCAGTGATTTATGCTTAGTAAGCTTCCCTGAAGCTGCTGAAGGGCAGCAGTGCCCATGCCCACCGAGGGGGAGAGCAGCTGCTGCCAGAGATAAAAATAACCACAAACCCAGTTCCCTGCATTTCAGGAGGACTGGGTTGCTATCTTTTCATCTGTTACAAAAAGCCCAATAAAACTTTTGTGGGAGCACAGGGTTGTACAAACTGTAAATGAGCTTTATGGTGCTGCAGGAGCACCATGGTGGTGACAGAACTGTAAGTCAGTTTTAAAAGGCAACTATTAGTCTTCAATGACTCACAGCACAGAGAGACCTGGTCAAAGTGCTTAGGAAGCTGAAAATACATTAGGGCAGAGTCTTTGGTGATGTAGAATCAGAATGGCTGTTTCAGCAGCCCAGGCTCAGGGCAGCCAGGTGGAATCTAGAGTGTGTAAAGTTACAGTTCTCTTTCTTTTACCTTCTAGTTTGTGAAGAGAATTTTAAAATGTCATCATTTATAAAATGGAAGGAATCAATGTTTAGTTTCTGGCCTCCAATCCTGCCTCAGGTGCTCCTCTGCATGTGTGTTTTGAATTAAATCACATGTATGTACACACATTTCCAAACAGTCTTAAGAAGAGAAGGGGAAAATGGAAATAAGTAGTATTGGGGCATTTCTGGTTCTCTCGAATACAAGAGCCTCAAAACAATCAATAATAGGTAGAAAACCTCCAGAGGTGTTGATGCAGAGTCTCAAAGAGCAAGATCAGTAACAAAGAAGCTGATTTAGGCAGAGCAAAGGAAAACCAGGGAACAAAAAACCTAAAGGGCAACATCAATACTCCATGGGGCAGGCCAGAACTGAGACCTGCCCTCAGGCCACAGCTCAGCACTTCCCTTTATGGCCCTGCAAACCTCAGGCATTTATTCCTGTGCAGAGCATTAACTCAGGCCCTGAACTCGTGGGATGTTGGATCGAACTCGGATTTCGGTGCAGTGCTCGGAGCGCATTGGTCCCAAGGCCCTTTGAGGTGTGCTCTGGAGGACACCAGTGCAGACAGCTCCTGGCTCCTCTGAGCCCTCAGCAGGCAGAGCTGGGGTCTGTGCCCAGGAAGGGCTTCCAGAGCTCCCCAAGGCTTGGCAGATAGACACTGTGTGTTTCCTGAGAGCAGTGGTGAGGGCTGAACTCTGCAGAGCAGCTCCTCGGCCCCTGGGTGATGGCTGCAGCTCCCAGGGCGTTGGGAAACCAGGAGAAAACACACACACAGCTCTTGGGAATGATGCTGCAGCACCTGCAGGGTCGTGCTTGGCTCTGTGTTGTGGTACCCAAGCCCAAGCTAGCTCAAAAATTAGGACTGATAGGGAAGCTGAGAAGAAATTAACTGCTGGAGAGAGGCTGGAGCTGGTTTCCCAGACAACACCAGCTCACAAACTGCCACTTTTCCCTGGATGCCATTCTTAATGGGGTTTTTTTTCTAATTCATGACATTTTGTCCAATGAAGAACAGGTTTCTGAGGAGGAGGACTGGCAGTCACTAGAAATATAATTCAAACCCAGCTAGAACCGTGTGCTGCTAAAAACAGTGACAGCTTGCTGCCAAGGAAGCTGGTATTTCTGTCTCAGCCTGAAATCTGCTCCCAGCCATTCTCCTTTCCCCTGCAAACAGGAACTCTCATGTCAGGCTGGATGAAACCCTCAACTGCAGAAAATGTTTGCAGAAGTCTCAGACTATTCCAGCCTGAGCTGGGAGAGCATTGGCATGGGCAATTCCAGGTCAGCAGAAAAAAGCAAAGCCAAGGGTTGTTGCTCAGACTTTTCAGATTTGGAATTTTGGGTAAAGAAATAATTCAGGTTGTTACAGATTCTCACACTGTACCTACCCTGTGGCCTGTCAAGCTGCTCTCAGTCAAACAGGAGGGTAAAAAATCCTCCAGAATGATTGTTTTCAGTCTTGCATTTCCATAAAGCTCCTGAAGCCTCAGTGCTGTTTCTGCCTTACCCTGACTGCTCCTGCATCAGCCACACCAACCCAATGAGCACCTTGGCTAACTGGTAAGAACATAGGAGTGAAAACAATGCTCAGCTTGGCTCAGCCCCAGCCCCAGGTCCTCACTCACAGTGACAGCTCTTTTTGGTTCGGTTGGAGTCATAAAGGATGTTTGTATGAAAGGGATAAAAAATGAGAACTCTATAGCTGGATTCTGATTGTGGTAGTAGATGCAATTTGTAATGAAACCAAGTGCAGCACAGCCAACTTTAGATGCTGGGAAATTCCCAAATTGTCCAAGGAAATCAAGCCCATTTCTGGCAGAATCATATGGGGTTCATTGTGTCAGTCTGAAACCAAACCAAAATGAAGCTGTGCTGATTGACTTCACCTTTACTCAGTTCAGCCCCAGAACATGAAGTAATTAAAAAATGTGTAAACTTGCTAAAGTAGGGCTGGAAATTTCCTGTGTGGTATTTGGTTATTTAATTCCACCCCCAAAGAAACAGTTTTTGACTAAGTCAAAGTTTGCAGCCCAAGAAAATGAGCCAATTCCTCTCTGGTGTGCACACCCCAATTGCACAGAGAAGGGGTTGGTTATTTTGGGCATAGAATGGGCAGGAAAGCTCCCAGCAAATGTACATTCATTGAGGGATTGAATGTTTAAAAGGATTGTTTGCAATACACATGATATCAAATAATTATGAGCTCTTCCAAGTCCTCAAATATCTGAACAGGGTAAGGCCAAATGCTCAGTTTACCTGTAGCAGACATAAAGTGACAACGTGGTGCTCTCAGATGGGACTTTAAACCACTCATGAAGTGACAAACCTTCAAACCAGGATTAACCTCCAGTGGCTCTAAGTATCCAATATCACATTTGTTGGTCTTCACTAGGCATTACATTAGCATCACTGTTTCCTAAATTGATTATATCACGACATTTACCTTTGATGGCTCTGTGTCTTTCTCCTTCCTGCCCCAGGAATGACAGATGTGTGGGTTTGGTTTGGACATTAAAAGATGAATTTTAAATGAGGGAGGACAGGGAGAAGCTTGTGTTTTCCTTATCACCAGGTGATTTTTAGTAGGGCTGCTTCTGCTCCTCCCCCTGAACACTGCTTTGAGGAATGAGAGTTTCCATCCCCATTGTGCAGAATCCCTTCTTTCCTCCCTGCCCAAGAGAACCTCCAGTGTAGGAGTCCAAGCTGGCCATCAGTTCTGGAGGGGAAAAAGGGACTAAAGTCCATTCTGTCTGCTGTAGTTGAAGTCAGGCTCCTCAAGCTCAGTTTCTGTGATGTCTGAGATTTTGGAGTGTGTCCTTCCTATCTCTTCCAGGGCACAGGCCAGGGAGTCGAGGTCGCCGTCGTGTTGGTGTCGAGCCTCCCACAGGTCCAGAATGACAGCAGATGGGCTGCTCTGGGTGGCAAAATAGGAGAGATTCCTGCAAGGAGGGGGAGAAGAAGGTGAGTGAAAGGATGAGGAACAATCTAGACTGCAGCTTCTAGGAATGTGGAAGTGTCCTCTGTGCCCAGCAGTGTCCATGTGTTTGAGAAGCAAAGCCTTCAACAAGAGCTGGGTGGGATGAGCTGAGGAACCCTTGAGAGGACACACACTGGTGCATTCAATCTTCAAATGACACTTCCTCATCAGTCAGAAGCAGAATGAAGAGAGGACTGGAATATTCTGAGGTTCAGGAGTGCTGGCCAAGAGTGCCAGTCCATGGAACTGAGCAAACAAGTCACTGCTGGAAAGCACCATTAGGAAACTCAGCAAGGACTTGGCAGGGAAAGGAATTATATAACCTAAATTGTGATTATGTAAAGATAAGACATCTTTTAATTTGTGAATTTCTCCTTTATGGATGGCAGTTTTGGGGTGACGTTTGCAGAGAATTGGGGAGAACTAAGTGTCTGTCATAAACTCTCTTTCCTGGTTCAGATGTGGTTTATTGAGATTCCCATGCACAGCAACAAGTCAATGGAAAGTTATTTTGCTTGATTTAAGTCTTCCTCTACCCTCTTGGGAACATATTTATGGCGTTTGTGACAATCAGAAAATATTTCTGGGAGTGAACAGCCTGCGCCAATTTCATTTAGCCAAGCGGAAAGGCAAAGTAAGTAGTAAATTGGTTTTTACAGCATCTTTCAGTTTTAATAATCATAATATTATTACTCCTAACAGTAGAGCATGACTGTCTTTTTTAAATATGTCTTTTCCTTAAAAAAGTAATCTGCAAAAGTCATTTTGGAATACAAAATCCGTCGCTGGGAGCCAAGGCAACAGGCCAGGGGATGGTTTGAGAGAACATGCAGCCTGCTAAGGCCCTTAAACCACTGTTTTCATGGTGCACAACAGTGCCAAAAACCTTCTGCAACCTTGGACTTCACCAAGACTCCTCTCCTGTGGGTGTGCACAGAAAGGTCCAGTCCAGGAGGAAGAACTGCCCTTCAGAACTAAGAGCAGGCAGGACAGGGCACATGGGTCTATCAGTTCCTGTTCTCAGCAGCTGCTCATGCATAAAGACCTGTCTAAGCTACACTTAGCCTTGAGAGGCTGTTAATGACTCTGCACACATCTTTGATAGCAGCAAACAAACAAAACCTCCAGAACAGCAAATTATCCCCTTGCATATGCAAATGTTCACCTTTCCAAGGGCCATTACCTGTTAATGCTGTTCTTCTGAGCCAACATCTGCCAGTCCTTGCCTTTGGCGTTGGGGGTGTCGAAGGTGGCACAGATCCTCTGCCTGATGGAGAAGGGGATTTTGAATGCTTTTGGACCCATCTGGGCAGGAAAGTTGCTGTCATCGTGTGCAAAGAACGTGATAGTTTCTCTTTCAGTCTACACAGAATGGAAAAGCAAAGCAGTTAGTTGGAGGAAGAATCCAACCTGAGCTGAGATTCCTCCTGTAACTTGTAGAATTGACAACAGATAATTAAATAAAGAGGTGTCTTTGTGGATTGTGAAGGACCTTCTAGAGCATCACAAGCAGTTATGTATGAAAACATCCAAATCAGTGTTATTTTCCTTCTGTGAGATTTCTTTTTTTGGTTATTTTTGTGTTACAGATGAAATTGAAAAGAGCAGTGCTGAGTTCCTAAATCTTTAATTGCTTAAGCCTAAAATATGGACATACAAATCTCTCGTTTGTCAGTTGTTAAAACACCCCCTGAATTCTCTAAGCACCTCAGTTCTCCCAGACTCTTTGGAATCCTGGTCCTTTGTAGATCTGGCCCATCCTTTCCTATGGAATGACACCACCCTGGTGCAGCAGAGTCCCATTTCTATGCATTTCTCACTGGAGTGTGATGCAGCATCAATATTCAATAACAGTGATGCTGTAGCCTCTTCATATAACATTTATGGCACATCCCCAAAGCCATCCATGCACAGCAATAGGTGCTGTGGATGTATCACAGGGCCTGACTGTTCATATTAAATATGCAGAACAGCAGTAGATTTTCATACCCTGCACATGTGAGATAAGCTACAGCGACCTGTTAGCTCAGGGAATTGTAAGGCAATGAGCAACTCAAGTGTGCAGTTGTTAGCTATAGATTTATTTTGCAGTCAAATTATCCTCACTCTTCAATCACTGCTGGAGATAGGCATGAGAAAGCCTTCCATACTAGCAAATTTGCCTGAAGGCAGAACTGCAACATGCTCTGGGGACTTGTGGGCAGATAGGACCCTTCAAAAAAAACAGAGAGAGGAAAACCAAGGCAGCAGCAACACTGTATGGAGATATATAGACACTGACAGAAGTTCTTTACGAAATAGGAATAAGGAACTAGAAAAGTTCTTGGTTGTGTTGTGAGGAATTTTGATACAGGATGATGGTTGTGGTTTTCTTGCCTAGCTACTGTGTTCTCTGCATGCAGTGTTTAGTGTATAGCTTTAATCCAGAGTACTCATCTGGATCAAGCAACAGAGGTGCTCAGTAATCTAAAAAACAGTCACTGGAGTTTTCATTGCTGTCAGACAGATCAGCAGCTTGCTTGACTATAGGTTTGATGTCTTTTACCTGTGAGCAGGGCTCCAGTCCTTGGGACACACTGTGTGTATCTGTATTTTCAACTCTCAGTGCTCTGCAAGCTCTGCAAAAGCTTGGTGCAAAAAAACTACAACCACCAACCCAAATTTAAATTATTTTTAGCGTTGTAGAATCTCTGTGCTTTGGCTTCTGCTGGAAATGAAATCTCTAAGGTTTATAACTGGTTACAGCTTTGAACACAGCACAGGAGACTACAGAGAAAGGACTGAAACGAGGAGGGAACTGGAGGCAACTGGCACAGGTTGCCCAGAGCAGCTGTGGCTGCTCCATCCCTGGGAGTGTTCAAAGCCAGGTTGGATGGGGCTTGGAGCAACCTGGACTGTTGGAAGGTGCCCATGGCAGGGAGTGGAACGAGATAATCTTGAAGGTCCCTCCAACCCAAACCAGTGTGTGATTCTATTCCACAATCACATCTCGTAGCGCAGAGCAACACGACGCAGCCCCAAGGAGAGGGAAGCTTTACCTCCAGGATGGATGTCTGGATCTGCAGGACCTGCTCGTGGCCCTTGAGCTGCCTCACGCAGACCTTGCAGGCCAGCTGGGTGGTGGCAGGGCTGTAGCGCTCCAGGGAGAAGGCACAGTGCAGCGGTTTGGGGCTGCCGCGCCACACGCGCGAGAACGGCACCTCCTGCGGGGACACGGCGGCGTGAGGGGCAGAGGCCACAGAGGAGAAACATCCTAGTTCTGATTGTTCCCTGCTGTTGGATTTTGAGTAACGTCTCTTGGGGCTGAAAGCAGGGCAAAGCCAATATGTGGCGATTCCATCGGCGAGAGCTGAGGTGTCACACTGACTGAGCGCACAGACTGCAGCCAGTGAGACAAACCATGGGACACTCTCAGCAAAAACTTCGAGTAGATGCCTTCCTCTTCCTATGGACTGGTTTTACCACTAATTTGGATACTGTCTCTCCTCTTCCTATGGCCTGGGTTACAATGTAGGGTGTATTCTATGATAGTCTCCACAAACTGTTAAAGCAGGTGGGGCAGTGCTCATATCTCCTACTCATCCCTGATGGCTCCTCAGGGGCTGTCTCTGTTTAATGGGCTGTCAGGGACCCAGGCAGGACCCAGAGAATTACACGGTCCCACTGGGAGATGCTTCACCCCAAGGGGGGGAGCCAAGCATTCCCACATGGATATAAACTGGGATTTATCCAGTAGGCACAGAGCCCTTTGCCTACTGGATTCCCAGAGGACAAGAGCTACCACTGGACCTTCAGGTGAAGACCAGATCTACAGGATCACTGCTCCAACAGACCCATCCCTCCAGGAGTGCTGCAGCCACCATTTAATTGGACTCCTACCAACACCCTGTGTAGTAGTCTGGACACTATTCAAGATCAGAATTCTTCTCTGTGTCTCCTGGATATCACCTTGTACTATAGAATCAAAACAAAAGGTACTTCCTTTCCCTTCCTTTCCTTTCCCTTTCCCTCTCCCTCTCCCTTTCCCTCTCCCTCTCCCTCTCCCTTTCCCTTTCCCTCTGTTTCCTTTCCTTTCCTTTCCTTTCCTTTCCTTTCCTTTCCTTTCCTTTCCTTTCCTTTCCTTTCCTTTCCTTT